CCCCCCACTCCCTCTCCAACCCCCCAAAGTACCCCTGGTCCAGTCTGGCCCCGCTGGGCCGGAGCTGGACTGCACACTTATGGAGGCGGATTGCTCTAGCTCCGGCGTAACGCATCTGACCGGTGCCGGACCAGGCACCAGTGGAACAGGCACGGGCCGTGCTGGACTGACGACGCACACCACTGGCTTGGTTGTTGGGGAACAGGGCACGGGCCGTGCTGGACTGACGAACGCACACCACTGGCTTGGTGTTGGGGGAACAGGCACGGGCTGTGCTGGACTGACGACGCACACCACTGGCTTGGTGTGGGGAGGCAGGAGCGGGCCGGACAGGGCTGACGAAACGCACCACAGACTTGGTGGCGGGGAGCAGGAATGGGCCGGACTGGGCTGGCGACGCGCACCACAGACTTGGTGCGGAGAGCAGGAACGGGCCGGACAGGGCTGACGAAACGCACCACAGACTTGGTGCGGGGAGCAGGAATGGGCCGGACTGGGCTGGCGACGCGCACCACAGACTTGGTGCGGAGAGCAGGAACGGGCCGGACAGGGCTGACGAAACGCACCACAGACTTGGTGGCGGGGAGCAGGAATGGGCCGAGCCGGGCTGACGAAACGCACCACAGACTTGGTGCGGGGAGCAGGAATGGGCCGAGCCGGGCTGACGAAGCGCACCACTGACTGGAGCGGGGAGCAGGAACGGGCCCGAGCCGGGCTGACGAGACGCACCACAGACTTGGTGCGGGGAGCAGGAATGGGCCGGACTGGGCTGGCGACGCGCACCACAGACTTGGTGCGGAGAGCAGGAACGGGCCGGACAGGGCTGACGAAACGCACCACAGACTTGGTGCGGGGAGCAGGAATGGGCCGAGCCGGGCTGACGAAACGCACCCACAGACTTGGTGCGGGGAGCAGGAATGGGCCGAGCCGGGCTGACGAAGCGCACCACTGACTTGGAGCGGGGAGCAGGAACGGGCCGAGCCGGGCTGACGAGACGCACCACAGACTTGGTGCGGGGAGCAGGAATGGGCCGGACTGGGCTGGCGATGCGCACCACAGACTTGGTGCGGAGAGCAGGAAACGGGCCGGACAGGGCTGACGAAACGCACCACAGACTTGTTGTGGGGAGCAGAACAGACCGGACCGTACTGGGGACACACACCACTGGCCCCTACACCGGGATCTGGAAACGGGCCGGACCGGACTGGTAACACAACCCCCAGTACCTCTCGCCGTGCCTCTCCACCATTCCATCCCCTCTTCGACCAGTGGCCCCCGTAACCTGGCGGCCTCCTCTGCCAACCCGCTGGACCGCTCTGCTATCCGCGGCCTCCTGCTGCCCGACGTCGTGAGCCCCCCCCTAAAAATTTTCTGGGTTCTCTCCTCCCCGTGGGCCAGGCCTCTATCGTTCTCGCACAACTCTCGCTCCTCTGTCTCCAACTCCAGCCATTCTGCTCTTCATTAGGCTTGACCCAGTCGAAAACTCTTCCTCCAACTGTTTCCCAAGTCTATCCACTCTGCTCTTTACAAGGCTGGACCCCAGTCGAGGTTGCCACGGAGATCTGCAAGCGATTCCCCAGGCAATGGCTCCTGGACACGCTGCTTGGTCCAGTTTTGGTGGTTTCTTCTGTCACGATCGTCAGGGAGAGACCAATGCGCAGCGTTGAAGGTGAACATATTTATATTTATTTAATGATCACACGATCAAAACAACAAACGAAAACGTGACGTCTACGGTTTAAACACAAACCAACACGAACAAGAAACCACAAACACAAAGTGAAAGACAGACAGTTAAATATGGCTCCCAATCAGAGACAACCAGCTGACACTCGTTGCCTCTGATTGGGAGTCACTCAGGCCAACATAGAAATACAAACATAGAATACACATCCTGGCTCAACATAATAGTGTCCCCAGAGCCAGGGCGTGACATCAAGGGAGGCCAAATGCTCGCTGGCTTCCCTTGCATTTAATGCTACGGGCGGTACAGCATCAAATAGATAACCTACACATACTGAGACAGAGGGGCGCTGTTTCACATTCAGCAGCCTCTTGCAACTTGAAGGAAATGTATGAAACACGGAGAGAGGAAAGAGACAGTATGTTGAAAGTTTTTTTTCTATTTTTCTTTGTAAATTTTTTGGGGAAGCCTGGCTTCCCTTGGCATCCATGAATACACGCACTGCTGGGAGTCAGGGTAATAAGCGTTCTAAGTAAACAAAAGCAGACCAGAGAGGGTCATGTGATTCTGTGATGCACAACCGAATCTAACAGGATAATTATAGCAATGTCTAATTTACTACTCAACTGGTTTGGAGAACCTCCTGGGTGCTCTCTGTCTCTGTCTCTGTCTCTGTCTCTGTCTCTGTCTCTGTCTCTGTCTCTGTCTCTTTTTCTCTCTGTCTCTTTTTCTCTCTGTCTCTTCTCTCTCTCTCTCTCTCTCTCTCTCTCTCTCTCTCTCTCTCTCTCTCTCTCTCTCTCTCTCTCTCTCTCTCTCTCTCTCTCTCTCTCTCTGTCTCTCACAGGCACACACTCAAATGTATGCATGTACACACACACACACAGATGCGCACACACAGACACACTCACACACAACAACCACCACCCACCCTCACCATATAGCAGGCCTAAGTCTTCAGTCACATGGCTGGTTGCTCATAGTTGGTGGTACACACACAGTGCAGAGTGAAGCATGGACAGCAGCGGATCATTTGTATTGTGTCACAGCCCAGGGATTGATTTCGGCCGGGGACGGAGGGGCGATAAAGGGCGAGCGCCTGGCCTCCCACCCACACAGCCTACTGGGAGAAGGGGCCTGTACCAGAAGTGGAGCTGGAGGGTGGTACTTAGGGTCACAACATATTGTTCTCCCTTGGCTCTGGGTCTGGTGGACGTCACACTCATGTTATAGATGGAGGAAGAAAGGAGGTAAGTCTGCCCCTTGCACTTTCTCACCGGTCAACAGACACCCAGACAGATAGAGTGATCTGTCAATCTGTCATATCATTCAGGCTAGTGACCCAACAAGCTACATGAGACAATAAGACAATCTCCTCAACATATCTGCAGATACACAGTAAGGCTACAAAAGTGGTTGAAATGGATTCCTCAAAAAAAAGAGGCTGCTAAAAGTTTGCCATGTGGAGGGGAGCAAAAACACTCTGTCTGCATCCCAATGGCACCCTATTCCCTATATAGTGTACTACTTTTGACCTATTCCTTATACAGTGCACTACTTTTGACAAGAGCCCTATAGGGAATGGGGTGCCATTTGAGACACATAATTTTCCTTTGGAGAGCTGAGGTGATGAAGGCTGTCTGAGAGAGATCTGAGGCCCTGAGTGAATTCATGACAGAACGTCTCTCGGTCTCTCATCATCCATGGTCCAGATGAAGACATGATGGCACAAGGCCCTGAGTGAATTCATGACTGAATGTCATGGATGACAGCAGCCTCCCACTATGTGTGTATGTGTATGTGTGTGTGAGTGTGAGTGTGTGTGTGTGAGAGAGAGAGAGAGAGAGAGAGAGAGAGAGAGAGAGAGAGAGAGAGAGAGAGAGAGAGAGAGAGAGAGAGAGAGAGAGAGAGAGAGAGAGAGAGAGGTGAGATGGAGAGCAGTGTGGTATTGTAGGCTTTTACTTCCTGTGTTGTGATTGACAGCTGATGGACAGTGTGTGACTGTGTTGTGATTGACAGCTGATGGACAGTGTGTGACTTTGTTGTGATTGACAGCTGATGGACAATGTGTGACTGTGTTGTGATTGACAGCTGATGGACAGTGTGTGACTGTGTTGTGATTGACAGCTGATGGACAGAGTGTGACCATGTACATGTCTTTATTCTCATACCACAGCGTGACAACCATCATCGATGACATTGATTTGGTTTAACAATGGTAATTAAATATAACGCAACATATATCAAAAAGTAACCGATTTCACACGGAGCAGCCAACTGGAGTCAAATCCCAGACACTGTCATTTCTCCAGCCCAGTAATAGCAGTGTTTCTGAGGTATAATTCACCACTTCACCAGGGTGCTTGACATAAAATCAGCTACTATAGGCCTAATG